GAGTTCGTCACTAAAAACAAAATAAAATTAACCCAAGTTAAATAGTAATTAATAAATTGACAACATAAAAGTTTAATAATATGGCTTAAATAAGTGCACAGATTGCACTTATCAGTCAGATGAAGTGTTTAAACCAATAAAAGAATTCAGAAGCATATCCAACAGTCTCAGCAAGTCCACTTGTCAAAATCTCATGCAAACATGTCACACATGCAGAGCACAACATCAACACGTACACTCTTAAACATTACATAAAAAGAGACAAAGGAATTCTTCCATTTACATTCCACTATAGCTGCCTTTGGTCTCTTTCTACCCCCATCTCTCTCGCAACGTGAAGTTCTCCATGAGGTCATTTGCAATGGTGTCCTTCCTACTGCTGGTTTCCCTATCCACTATTTCAAAATTTATTCAACTCCATAGCTTGTCAACTACTTAATTAGCCATACTATACACATGTAAATTAAACAAATTTGAAATAACCAGAACAACTTTAATTTTCATAGCAAAGCATTCGTATTTGTTTATTTAAATTGTATTATGTATTAAATGTTTTTGTATCTTTTTCTCTTTTCTTGTTTTAAGCAAATATGAGTGGTCCTCTTGTGGTGGATGCTCCAAGTTGTAACTGGGATCTTTGTCGAAAATATTGTTCGCTTCAGGGTAAGTCAGCATGTTGCCCAGGACCATCCAGCCCGTGTCGTTGCACAGCAATTTGCCCACATATTACGAGTGGTCCTCTTGTGGTGGGTGCTCAAATTCGATGTTGTGACTTGGATCTTTGTAAACAATATTGCTCGCTTCTGAGTTTGCCAGGATGTTGCTCAGGATTTAATGACCAGTGTGTATGCACAAAAATTTGTCCACGTATGTAAACATAACCTTAATGATATGTTGACTTGCAGATTGAATATTGCAAGACAAAAAGCTCCTTATGTTTGGACTAAATTTTCCCTCATGATATGTAGAAATTGCTGAGCAGGTGATGGCCAGTGCAACAGACAAAGTGACTTTCATCAAAGAAATAGTAATTGCTTGATGTTTTGCTACAACAGCCGGCGAATAAATTACTTATCTATCTATGAAGCTGGCTGAGTTAAATAAATTGTAGCTCTCTGCTTAGAAATCGCATTAAACTGACTTTAATTAAATAAATTGTAGTCTTTGCTTGGAGACTACATTGTGAAAATGTAGCCATCTTTATTTACCAATATCATGTTGTATATTTTAATAAACTTGGAATGAGTATATTGTGAATAATTTTTGTTGTCTTCTTTAAGTTTTTTATCAAATTGAGATCGGCACTAACATCAATACAAGTACCATAATCCACCTAATTTAGTCCCTCTTTGGTCCAGCTAAAAAAAGTGAATTAAAATTTATATCATCATCTTTTATCAAAATCTATTAAAATTATATTTTTTTATCGAAATCAACACATGAGCTTAATGTGTTTCCCTATTGTAATAATATTTCTTTCATTTTAATAATACTATGTCATCAACTTTTATCAAAATCTATTAAAATTATATTTTTATCGAAATCAAACATGAGCTTAATGTGTTTTCCTGTTGTAATAATATTTCTTTCATTTTAATAATACTATGTCATCAACTTTTATCAAAATCTATTAAAATTATATTTTTTATCGAAATCAAACATGAGATTAATGTGTTTCCCTATTGTACTGATATTTCTTTCATTTTAATAATACATGTCATACTGTTGTTGGTTTATCCAAAAAAAAAAATCGAAAATTTTGTAATAACCTTATCTCAATCGAACATAGGAAAATGCACCCTAGAGTTTTGCTGAAATGAGATTTGCTGCCCATAATAAGACAAGTAGGTTTGGGAATAAATAATATAATTTATTAATTAAAATAGACATTGAACAAATTGCTGTAAATTATAGAGCAGTCAGATGTGAAGATCGCTTTAATCCAAGCGAATTTGAAGGAAGAAATTTACATGGTTCAGTCAAAGAGATTTGAAGTAAGAGGAAAAGAACTTATGGTTTTAATGTTGAAAAAGAGTTTGCATGGGTTGAAACAGGTTTCAAGATAGTGTTATAAGAAATTTGATTCCTTTATGGTGGGCCATGGTTATACTTATACCAGGACAAATGCAGATCATTGTGTTTAAGTCAGAGAATTTCATGATAGTAACTACATCATCCTTCTACCATTTGCAGATGATATGTTGATAGTGAGACAATATGTGCATTTGATTCGAAAATTGAAATTAGATTTGTTCAAGTTGTTTGACATGAAGGATCTTGGACCAACAATACATATTTTAGGGATGCATATTCATTGTGATGAGAAAGCCAGAATGTTATGGTTATTACAGGAAAAATATGTAGAGATGGTGCTGGAAAGATTTAACATGAAGAATGCTAAATTAGTTGCGACACCACTTGTTAGTTACTTCAAACTGAGTAAGATGACCTGTCATTCTAAGAGGGATGATAAAGAAAGAATGGCAAAGATTCATTATTCCTCTACAGTTGGGAGTTTGATGTATGCTATGGTTAAACGACCAAACATTACTCATGCAGTTGGACTAATCAACGGGTTTTTTGTTAATCCCGGTTAAGATCGTTTGGAGGTACTGAAATTGATCTTTAGATACTTGAGAGGTACTTAAAAAATGTGTTTGACTTTTGGAGGTTCAAAACCAATTTTGAAGACGTTTACAGATTCAGATATGGCTGGTGATGGTAGAAAATGAACTTTGAGACATTTGGTTACTTTTGCAGTGGGAATTGTCTCATGACAGTTAAAATTATAAAAGTGTGTTGCCTTATCCACAACTGTGGCTGAATATATTGCAACAATTGAAACAGCGAAAGAAATGCGTTGGATGAAATGGCTTCTCCAAGATTTAGTTTTGAAGCAAGATGTGTATATAGTAAAATGCGACAGTTAGAGTGCATTAGACTCGAGCAAGAATGCTACTTATCATTCTCAGACGAAGCACATTAATGTGAGATATCATTGACTACGACAAATAGTGGCAAAACAATTGATATTGTTGGAGAAGATTCATACTAATAAAAATCCAATTGACATGATGACAAATGTTGTGACAAGAGAAAAGCTTGAGCTTTGTACCGGACTGGTCGACATGGATTATAACTAATCTATTAGAGAATAATCTCATTTCTCAGTGGGCTCGAGGGGGAGATTGTTATATGAGCTTGGGAAAAAAGACCTAAATCCACTTTAATGTCATTGTAGGTCAAAAAATTGTTAGAGATATATATACAAGGAAAAATCGTGGCTTTCATTGTGAGGAGACAAAAATAGGGACTACACATCGACATTGAGAACTGTGGTTCTTGGAAACAAATCTGGAAGAGCAAAAAAAAATAGGACTGACTGTGTGGGAAAAAAAAAAGAAAAAGGGGAAAGAAAAAAGAAAATTTTCTTCCAATCTTTAGGTGTGGAATCACACGGATTTTTTCTCTTCTTCTGTATTGGAGATTTCTCTTAGGTGTATTTTGAGTACTCTAGAAGTGTAGTATTCAAAAGTAGGTATCTCACAAGTTTCAACAAATTGGTGGTTTGTGGTGAGATTATCTGTTGCCTTGGAGATTGATTATTGTATTTCCCAATTTATCGAGAATTCAAGTTTTTGGACATAAACTTAAATTTTTCAATTTTTAATTATTATAGTGGATTTGGCCGAAATTGCCTCGTGGCTTTTCTCTCTACATTGGAGGGTTTTTCCACGTAAAAAATTTGTGTTGTGTTCTCATGTTTTTGCTTTGATTATTTACTTGCATATTGAATCACTCTAATTAGTTGCTTGGATCATTAAATTTATTCCTGCAATAAGTGAAATTATCCAACAGTGTCAACTAACAATTGTTTACAAAATTAAGAGCATGTTTGAGCCACATTTTCTTGAAAAAATATATTTTCGAATAGTAATTTGATGGAGAATATGTAGTTAAAAATAAATAAAATTTTTGAATTTACGTGTGATATTATTTTGAAAAATATGTTGTTGAAAATAAGAAAGAAAAATATATTTTGAAAAAGTAGGAACCAAACAAGGGCTAAAATTATGTGATGTTGCTTAAAATTGATAGGTTGTAGAAAATTATATAAAAGTTGTGGATCTAATTAAATGTGTATACTTATTAAACAAGTACTTATTGCGTGTCTTCTATGGCCTTGTACCTTACCAACACATTTGGTATCAACATTGTCTTTCCAAACTATTAAAAATGTATTATTTCTCAAAGCTCTATTTGTATATTTTTCTCTAAGAAGAATGAACAAAATATTGGATTGCGTAAATTCCTTGTCTTTTATGTTGTTGAATTCAATTTTTTATTTAAATGAATAACAACTTGATCATAAATTTTCTAATCGTGGCTCGAATAAATTGGAAAGTTTTATAACTGACAAGTAAACAATGTGTTACATAAAATCTTTTCGTTGAACAAAGAGTTGATATTATTTGGTCATCATAATAACTTACAAAGCCAATTGCCTAGTTAAATATGATATCAATATTGAAAATTTTAATTTCAAAAGTACATATTTAACCCGTGATCTAATATTGCAAATACGAGTAAATAAGAACTAAACTTGAATACCACATGTTAAACTTTAAAGAAAGTAAAAATTACTTAGGTGATTATTTTCAAATATGTCTGAATTATTGAATAAGTCTTTATTTTCTATATTTCTTATTGTTAAATTTAAAAAATAAATAATTTACTTATTTTTTACCCCGATTAATATTTAAAGTTCAATATAAATAATCTTCGCGGGTGGCTGTCTCCTGATTTTAGTTCAGTTTTTCAACCTGTTTACTTGAACTCCTTAACCTAACTTAGAAACACTAAAACGACGTCGTCAAAACACGTCACCCGACAATCCCCTGCCCCCACCACATGCTTATGAAAAGCCATCCAATCAAATTGGCCAGCGTGGATTCTTAAGCGTCCGGTTTTGAAACACCGAATTCATCGAATTATCCGAGTCGTCACCACCCTTCGTACTACCTTGAGATATTTTCTTCTCTCTCCTCTTCTTCTCTACAAGTGGTGTTCATTACGAACAGAAATTTTATTATTTTAGTACTGCATTATTCTTCAAGCTTTTCTTCATCAAAAGGTACGCGTCGAATCAACATTTACACGAAACTCGCATAATTTGATTTGAGCGTAAAACATTCATGATCTTGAACTGATCAAGTGATTGTTTAACATTAAGTAATTTTTTTCTTTTTCTTTTTTATCGTTCATATCTTCTATTACAGAATTAATCGCTAGCCATATCCTTTTATCATCTGTAGTTTTGCGTACTGTAATCTTCGTTTGTATTTTCTTGCTTTGATTATCGTAATATTGTTTACATGCATTAAACAGTGCACTGGACTTTTGGTTGTTTCATATTTTTTTGGATGACTGAATAGTGAATACATCTGAAATATTCTTTCAGAGTTGAATCTGCTCTCTCTCTTGATTGGTCGAAGTACAGAGCCCAAAAATAGGTAAAAACATATTTCTGCTTTTGTTTGGAGTTTTTGTTATGATTTGTGTCGCGTTTGCTGGAATGATTATTTAATATTTATGAAGTTTGCTTTCACCGTTGTACACCTGTATGTTTATTTTTCTGGACTTTGTGGCATATAGTTGATCTTAAATTCTGCGCGTCTAAATTTGAACTAAAATTTCCCCCGAATTTTGGAATAAATCTTGCAAAGTGAACACTCGGTTGTCTAGTAGTAGAAAAGGAGAGATTGCAACGATCAATGACTCTTGGATGCTAAAGTCAATGAGGTCAAAATATAATTTAGGTAAAGAGAGGAAATTTGAATATCATGAAGTGACTTGCTTGTTTTGGCAAGGTTTGGTGCGTTTACAAAGGTTCTAGATGAGTCACCATCCTACTCATATCAACTATGGAGTTGAGGACTTATTAAGACGTGTACAACAGTGCCAGTTATATGGGAACTTTGAATCCACAATGGTTGACGTGGGTGGCATGTCAAACTCACTTGGGGATCGCAAATCGCATCTAAGTTGGCGCTATCTTCTTGCTGTTTTGATTGGTTGTCAGCCTAATATGAAACGTGGATTGCATCCCTATTTCTGGGATAATCCTCCCTCTGGACAGTCATTGGAGGCTCCTCTGGGGTCGCATACATTTTCCTTTTGTAGAAAAGCTTGACATCTTCTTAGCAGGTGATAAACCAAACACAATCTTTGAATTGTGCTAACATTGTCCCATCCCTCATGGTGGTTTGCGCTTTTCACTGCCTTCCCTGGTTCATGGCATTGAAAGAAATATCTTACTACCTGACTTAACGCTGTCCACAGGGTCAAGATGTTTATTAAGTAATGTGCTTCATCGAGTGATTAAGATTCTGAGTTGACAGTTCTTCTTGGTCCAAAGTTTGACCATGTAGGCCATGTGTGTACAAAGTATAACATATGTAAAACATATAGTTGAAGTACAAAGGTGCATAGATCTGGTTAAAGCAAAATGACGTATAGTTACACAGCACATTGACACGAAACAAGCTCTGCTTGTTCAATATTATGATTCAAATTTTACATATTGGGACACTGACATGATATCATAAATGGTTTACATATGAATGCCATTACGTTATAACTACCTGTTTAAGGATCGTGAGGAAGATATTCCCAAGTGATCGTCAGTTGACAACAAAGAAGGTAACTCTATTATCATTGTTGATGTCATTTTCGAGTTGTCATCTCTCCTTCCTAATGATTTTACAGCGAGCCTCGAAAGAGATGCAGCTAAGCTCCTACGATGGCCATCTAATGCTGAGATCAGGAATAGTTGATGTTGAGTGCAATATGATAGTAGTAGTAATAAATTAAAATGAGATTTACTCGTCCAAGGGTCCTATATTAGTCTTGTGCTTCAGGTTGGATTGGTAAAGAATCAATGTTAATCTAGATGTGAAAATTTTGGGTCCAGACGATGAACACCCGATGCTTAAGTTAGAAACAATCGAGAGTGTGAGCAAGATAATAATATTAGTAATTGACTTGTCAAAATGAGTTCAACAAATGAGGGATCGTTTTATATGGACCTTTTGCTGTGGAATGATTTGGTATGGAGTCGGTGTTCCTTCAAACGTGGTGTTAGAAAATTGGTCTTATAGCCTTTATAAAAATTGTGCATCAATTGTATAGCATTAGCAGGTCTGTTAAGTTTAATATATAAGGGACCTTCACTTTTGTAAAGTACGAAGACGGAAATGAAATTGTGAGTACTTTTCAACTGAACAGAGCAAGAATTTTGTTTCCTTCTGCAAGTAATATCTTTGAAGTAGATAATTTATTAATAGATGGTAACCATCTATAAACAACTTTTCTTTTGGTTGCATTTTTGCTTGATTTCTTGTACAAGCGTCTTTTATCTAAGGTGATATTTATTCCAGGTCTTAGGCTAGTCACTGATGGTGTAGCATAGGGTCTAGGTTGAAACAATATTGAAAGAGAGTGCCAAGAAACAACATATACCTATCACTTTTGGAACCCTTACTCAAATAATATAGTCCAAAAACCTTAAAGTCATTATTTACCTCTTTTGAATTTTTTATTAGAGTGACTCTGTAGTACATGAGGAGACATATAACATCTACCAAACTTTGTTCAATTTCTTTCGAATTGATGTTTTACTAGATTATTATATTTCAATAGCAATAATTGGTGTCAGCTATTCAAAACATGGAAGTGTTATTATTGGTGGTGACCATACATCTTAAGACTTGGTGCCCATTAACATTCTCCTTATCATGGTCACGTGTTTTATGAATCTGGTTGTTCAATTTCTTTCGAATTGATGTTTTACTAGATTATTATATTTCAATAGCAATAATTGATGTCAGCTATTCAAAACATGAAGTTTTATTATTGGTGGTGACCATACATCTTAAGACTTGGTGCCCATTAACATTCTCCTTATCATGGTCACGTGCTTTATGAATCTGGTTGTCAAGGCTCGCCTTCTTCAAATTTGGTGTTTCAATTTCACATTGTTTAGATGATCAATTGAACATTGGACCACTTAAAAATAAGTTTTGAAAGTGAAACTCACATGAAGTGTTGTGTGCTGGAACTATAGTTAGGTTATGTGCCTATGACAGTGTAATGGGCTTGCTTTCTTGACTTGGGTGAAGGTTAAAGGTTCATTTTGCAAAATCATTCCCTCAGCAATAGTAAATGGTTGTATTGTTTGGAAAGTGTTATAGCTACGATGAAGTTTGTTTTAAGGTGATATTTCAGTGAGTATGGATTTGTAAGCTGTTTTCAGTGGTGGACAAAGCCACGATCACCGCATCCATAGAGAACGTGGCTGTGAGCACCAAATCCATAGAGAAAATTAATGGGTGCCTATCAACTGCAGAATCGAATATGGTTTGTTCAATTAAAGAGTTCTCACACTTTCTTCTGTCTTGGTATATTGTACATTGGCTTGATCATTTATATAGACTTAAGAGGCAATACTTATGCTCTCCTAGTATACCAAATAGCTATATATGTCAAAGATATTTGATATATTCTTGCTATTTCATATATAGATTATACCATAAAATAATAAAAGGGTTGCAAAATATATTCCATTTATTCGCATCGAATGATCTTAATGTTCTAGATTTGTCCCCAAATAGTTAACTCTCTCCAAAAATTATTATTTTCGTTCCAAAAAATGTCACATTTGAAGTACACGACACAATCCTCAAAAGTACACAACGTGATCAGGAATTGACCTTCATTTTATGGTAAACATGAAAAGGATGCACAACATACTCACAATCCCAATTCTTACCTAAACATCTTAAATATGTATCAATTCAAAAAATTAAGACTTGCAATTCTAGACAGAGGGAGAATATTTTTCGTATTCATCTTATCCAAATCTTGATGCTTGATTAATCGTACATTTGGACACATGCCTCCACTTGACAGCCATACTCCAGCTCAACTATATCTTATTTATTCCACGTACATTTCATGTAGTGAGGAGAGTAGTAGACACAAGGGCATTATTTAGGCGTTGAAGGTTCATTATGAAGGGTAGCCTCGTAAGGATCACAATGTGCACAAAGTGTGAGAATATGTTGTTCCATATTGGAGGAGTATACAAGAAATGAAGCCTGAGACTTATGACTCGATGAAATCAAAATGATACAATTGAGATTTAGCACAGTTCTTTCATGGCGTACCTCAAATGATGAAAATGTAGGTCGGCTATTTCCTTTTCATCTGAGCAGTTAATTTCTATGCTTTTTATATTACATTTTAGACAAACATGCCTGGTTTATTGACTGTATTCGAGATTTAGAAAGATACACACTATCATTGTGGCCTCAATGGTCTGGTTAGACATTTGGGAATTGAAGAGTGGCCAGGACTAAGGAGTGATGAGGCCTGGTGAGGAGTTGAAATTGGAAAAACTTAAAATGGCCAGCGGTGAAGCTGAAGGGATATATTACTTATTATTATTTTTTTTCCCGGTATTTAAAATAAAAATCTGGTACTACTACATGCAAGGAACTGAATATCGAATATCTTCAAAATCTAAAACCATTTCTCTATATTGTATAATCAGCATGAATTGGTTTATTATTTCTTTCTTCTAATGATGCTTGAAATGTCAAATGCATTAGATCTCTGATTCTTAATGGAATAATAGCATAAGGGAAAATTTTGGCGTTTTAGTCTATCCTTTTTCTCCTTATCATGCTGATTAACAGGGGAACTTAATGAATTGAATGGAAGGATAGTTGAGGACTGAGGAGTTAGGAGAGCTGGTGAGCAGTCTAGGGAGTTGATGAGTTAAACTAGTCTTAGGTAAAATGGCCAATTGTAAATTAGGGGTTGTTTTACTTATTCTTTTGATGGTGAAGTTACAAATTTACTGCTTGGTTTACCTACAAGTAAAATTGGCATTGGACCAAGTATGAATTGTCAAATATACTCAATGAGACCCGATGTGAGAGGTTCTCTCATTAAATAGAACCAAGATTACCACTAAATATGGTACCAATCAATTATAATATTAACTAGTGGTAATCTATAATTTAAATATGGTAAAAACAATCTATCTATGTATTATATAATTATAATGATAAAATAAACATAAAGCCGTAATCTTCGATGATTTTCATAATCTTATTTAATCTTGTTGACATCTCCCTCAAGTTGATGCTGGTAAAATCATCAATTTGCAATTACGAACTGGCATTGGTTAAAATACTTGTGCCCACGAAGAAGAAAACCAAATTAAAGCAACCATCTATGAAAATTTGTGATGGCAAGATACCAAGAACAACAAATAGTGCAGAAATAACCAAAAACTACTCCAAAACTTCTCCAAGAACGCTCCAACCCCAAGAAGAATTTTCAAAAGAAATTCACGAAGTGTGCCGATACACACAGTGAGCTCTATCTATTGGGAGAACTCAATCGAACACATAATTCTTGTTTCGGTAAAAGTTCTAACGCAATA